CGGATGAACAAGCATCGCGCCTGAGGTCACGACAGAACACAAATATATATAGCAAATAATTAGTTAAAAAAAAAAGTTTCTAGATATTGGTTTACTAACTCTAATTATTTTTGCTTAAGTTGCCATTCTTAAAACTCGTTATACCTTTTTTTGCTTTAAATACTAATTAAAATTAAAAAGCCCACTCACTTAACATCATCAGCGATATTGTGAAGCAGTTTCGCTTCCTGGTCATTAAGTATTTTTAACCTTTTTAGTTGATTTCTATCTTGATAATTTAATTCCTATAGTAATTCAATGATTTAATTATTTCATTTGTTTATCTTACTAAGAAGAATCACTTCAAATATGTTAAACTTTTCAAACCACGCGAAACATAAAATAGGTATTAAAAAAATTAACTTTTTTATTTATTAAATAATTTAGCTCAAGTAAAACTAAAACTTGCAAACTTAGTTAAATAAAGAATATTTGTTTCTCTTTTAAACAATCATAAGTTGTTACTTTATATAAAAAAACATCGCTTAATTTTATAAAAAAATTATACAAGAGCGATGTTTCGAAAATATTTGTTCTAAATGTAATTTATTTAGCTTTAAAGGGATCCCTAAGTGCTCCTAACATATGATCTCATATGAAAGAGCATAAAAAAAAAATATGTAAGTTTTTTTTCTTTTTCACTAAATTGTAATAATAAATGCATGCTAACAAAAAGCAATTGCCAAAATCACTGAAAAACAACTCCATTTTGATTTTATTTTTTCACCATGTAAACTCGATTGTTAGTCGTTAAAAATCACGTTAGTGCGTCACAACAACTTTAAAATATCTACTTCGATTTTCAAGTAAAAAAAGTCGTGATTAAATAGTTAAGTTTTAATCAAGTTTTTTTAATTAGTTTTGCAAAAACAGTATAATATCATTCGGTTGAAAGACATCGTTAAAAAAAATTATTAAGTAATAGTTTTTGATAGTTTAGAACTTATAAAAAAGTCTTACAGGGCTCGTATTAAGCGTATCATGATCGCGATTGCTTTTCACACTTTTGTGATTAGTTTTTTCTTAAAAAAAATCTTTTCGCGATTTGTTTTTTTTTTTGGTTGTTTAATTACTTTTTTTCTAGCTTAGCATTTTTTTTAGCAATCCTTAAAAGTAATGTTTTTATCATAAAGAACGTCACACAAAATTTATTATTCTGAATAGATAGATTTGCTCTTTCGCGCGGAGATTTTCTTTCAACGTTAAACATTTTTGAATTTAAATTACTTTAAATCTCTGCGAAAAGTTGGTTTTTATCTTTGTTTATCAAAACTTCATGTTTAAAATAAGGCTTAAAAACGTTAGAGCAAAAAAAATACTGACTTTTATTTGCATTTTTATACTGTTTGAAAAAAAAACTAATAAAAAAGAATTAATTGTTATTATTATTAATTCTAATAATTATTAATTAATATATTATTAGTTAATTCTTTTTTATTAGTTTTTTTTTTTCAAACAGTATAAAGATGCTAATAAAAACCAGCAATTTTTTTTACTTTAACGTTTTCAAGCCTTATTTTAAACAAGAAGTATATTTCGATTTATTTAACCAAATTTTTTTGTTTCATCTTTTATTGGAAAACTTGAAAAAGAAAAATTGAATAAAAACATCAACCATTTAAATGAAAAACTTAATTATATTTAAACTTTTATTAGTCCTTTATTCAAGAAACAATAAATTATAAAAAATGTGGTATATCATTTTTTATTAAGTTTTTGACGATGTTTTTTGATTTATTGACGATAATTCCCTCCCCCCCCCCCATTCACGCACATCGGCACAACCTATAAGAGAGAGAGAGAGGGGGGGAGAGAGAGAGAGCAAAAAAAAAAAAATTTTTTTCGCGATAAGATTTTTTTTGCGTTAATTCGAGCCCTGTCTTAGTTTAATTTCTAATAAAATGTCTATTCAAACTTATCAATTTGAACAAAAAAAATATAGCAAAATTAACATAAATGTTAATTTAAGTAAAACATTTTACAATAATTATTTTTTTTATCAAGAAAAAATGAGAGTAACCGTCACTTTTGAAACCATAAAAATGACTGAAATAAATTTATTTTTGTGCTAAGGAAATATTTTAAATAAACTTTCATGTGTCTAAATCAATATTCATTTGTTAAAAACTGACTAAAAAGAGTTTAAAATTTGACTTCTATTCATTTTTGGCCGTGGAATTACCCTTATAACACAAATATATAAATTAAAATTATAAAAAAAATTTTAATATACAAATATATTTTCACAAAATGCTACAAAACTTATTCTTGTAAGTAATTGTGTTAGTTGAAAAAAAAACGACTTTACTTTTAAATTTAATTACCAACTAATAAGTTTGCAATAATGACATTTTGTCTACTTTGTTTATTTTGACGTACAAACATTAGTTTTTTGAGGCAATAGAGTCAATAAACTTTGGACAAGACGCATTTTTTTTAATCGAAGAAAAGAGTTTTTTTGAAAATTAAATTTGTTAGTGTGTGTTCATTATTATGTTTTAGAAAAAATAATATACATCAAACATTTTTTTTTTTAATGCTCTTTCATATGAGATCATATCTTTATAGCACTTAGGGATCCCTTTAAGTTTTTTCGCGTTTAAAGATATTTTATTCGCCTATTTTTTTTTTTGTAATTGTCTCTCATCGGTCCAATTAATCTTTGTCGCTTTTTTTTTTTGCTTTTTAAAATGTTCTTAAAACGACTAAAAAATCTGGCCAGCTTTTCGCAACTAAATATTATTTACGTGGTCAGCAATCGAGAGCGATCGCTCCCGCTTCCTGACCAAGCCTGTAAGTATAGGAAATAGCTTTATTTAGTAAAAACTTAGAATAATTGTATGTAATATATTACTAACAACTTATTGTATGTATATATATAAATATATATATACAAATATATATATATATATATATATATATACATATATATAAATATATATATATATATATATATATATATATATATATATATATATATATATATATATATATATATATATATATATATATATATATATATATATATATATGTATATATATATATATATATATGTATATATATATATATATATATATATATATATATATATATATATATATATATATATATATATATATATATATATATATATATATATATATATATGTATATATGTATATATATATATATATATATATATATATATATATATATATATATATATATATATATATATATATATATATATATATATATATATATATATATATATATATATATATATATATATATATATATATATATATATATATAAATACACTCTTGCATGGGCTTTTTTTTTTCTATGTTTTGACCATAAAATGTCAGTTTTATTCTTTTTTAATTTTAAAGACCAGAAAAACTCTTCTTTTTTTTTAATATTGTTTGATAGACGGTCTGTCCAAACCAAGCAGCACTTCCTTGCAAGTCAGGCTACTTGTCAGTTGATGTTGCAGCACTCCGTTGCAAGTCAGGCTATAAGATAGTCAATGTAGCAACACTCCGCGCATGATTTATAGGTAAAAAAAAAATAAATAAAAATATTCAGAACGTTTTTATTTTAAAAAAATAAAATAAAAACATTCAAAATGCAATACAAATTTTTTTAAAAAAAAATTAAAAGACTAGAATGTTTTTAAAAACATTCTTGTCTTTTAATTTATTTTTTTTGTGTGGTTTTCTAAATTTATTTACTTCCCGCAATTAAATAAATGCGTTTTGACATAATCTAACCTTTATTTTGTCAGCTTTAATACCACAAACAAGCAAAGAGCCATTTTTTACCACAAACTGCATATCTAAGCCCTTTACTATAGGTGTATATATATATATATATATATATATATATATATATATATATATATATATATATTAAATATTTAAATGAAAAAATACGACTTTTTTATGGGACTTCAAGTTTCATGCCATTCGGCAATCATTCAGCCATATATTTAAAAATCATTAAAATAAAAACCGTTATAAAAATACAAAATTGCGTTGCAACGAGATCAAACGTCAGTTTTCACGCCAAATGGGAATTTATTTAACCGGTGTCGAAATTCGATAGCAAAAACTTTTTTCTGTGCCTACATGCTGAAACCAATTCACTTTTTTTATTTAACAAAGGTTCTTTATTGTATGTTGAAATAAAATATTTCTCATTTATGCAAAGATTACATCTTTTTGAGGATGGGTTATAGGGTTGACATTTTTTAACAATACTCCACTTGATTATTGGTTTAATGCCTGCTTCCTTAAGTTTCCAGATCTCTTTAGAAAGTTCAGTGTCATTTTTATACCTGACCAAGTTGAATGATTTTATGTGGTTTGCAAACCTGATCTTGAAGGAGTTTTTGCTAATACCAATATACGATTTCTTAGCGTGGTTGACGTTCGCTGGTGTTACGGTAGCTTTGTAAACAATATTTTTAGTTAGACATTGATTTTCTAAAGGACACGCAGCTCTGTCTATACAGTTGCATTTTCTAACGTTTTCGGTATTTTGGTTATAATATTTAATATATTTTGATCTATTTTATAAATATCGATCACTCTTAAACCGACAAATAGCTGTATTAAATCCAACAGAATACAACACAACTCAATAATAATAATAATAATAATAATATATATATATATATATATATATATATATATATATATATATATATATATATATATATATATATATATATATATATATTATTATTATTATTATTATTATTAAAACCTTTTTCTATATAATTATTTTATTTTTAATTATCTTTTATTTTATCTTTTAGCAAATTTTAACAACAATATAAAAGATCGTGTAAAAAAACCTTTCTGCTTTTAACATAAAACATAATGTTATCATCTATTATCTGATACTTATCAGCATAAAACTAAAGACTTTTAAATCGTAATTAGTAAAAATTTTAAAGAAACTTTATAAAATTACCTGGCTGGTTTTGTAGCAGAACCATTTGTTAGCTGTATGTCACATATAAATGTCTCCAAATTTAAAAATAAAGCTTGAATTTAATGAAAAATAAGTTGAAATTAAAATAAATTAAAAAATTGGCAAAATTATATATATATAAGTTTTGATAACTTTAAAGTAATTAAAATAATTAACTATTCAATTTAAGTTATATCATTTTAACTATTAAATATACTATTAAATTTTAATGAATACAATATATGCTCTTTAAATTTATTTCTTTATCTAGAAATAAATTTTAAGAAAAAACAAGAACAATAAAGCTATAAATAATTTTAATTTAAATAAATGTTCAAAACTTTTACCCACAATTCACACAAAATTAAATTTTAGATCACCAATTATGCAAGTGTATATAGAAAAGAGAAAGAGGTGTAACCTTACAACAATGTGACCAAGGATCAAGCTTTTCTGCTAAATCAGATTCAACTAAACTTACAAAGTATTTCTGCACCAAAAGCAAAAGCAAAAGAATATTATTAGAGCTCAATTGTAATAATAAAATATTTAATGCAATTATAATAATAAAATATGTCTTTAAAAGAAATAAGAAAATAAGATACAATAAAAAGAGGAACTTGTCGTTAGAAGAAATAAGAAAACGAGATACAATTAAAAGAGAAATTAGTCTTTAAATGGAAAATGAGATAAAAAGAGGACTTTATATTTGTTAATGAAACAATTAAAGAATTAAACAATTAAACAATTAAACAATTAAAGAAAACATTATTTGTTAATGAAACAATTAAAGATTTTTAGTACTAATTAATCTTTTGAAAAACTTTTCATAAAACATTTTATTCATATAAAATGTTTTTCAAAATATATTGAATAGTAATTAAAAAATAAAGATATTAAAAGTGTTAAAATTACTCGTTGGAACACTTACTAACGACTCTTACAAATTATTGATTCATTTGCAAATGCAATAATGGAATAAGTTGATAGGTAGAATAGCCGGTCACACACTTTTTTTTCATCTATTTAACTGAATAGGTATAACTGTTTACAAAACTATAAAAATATACAACATAACATAAACGTTAACATAAGCCTTCACAAAAACATAAGCCTTAACATAAGCCTTCACAACGATGTTGTATTTAGACTCAATTTAGCATCATTGGAAAACTATTCCCTGAGGCCTTCTCCCATAATAAATTTGGCTGACTTTTTTTATGCATACTCACAATATTTGCAGCATATTTCTCAAACATATTGTCCATGAAAACACCACACCATTCTAACTCAAAGTGAAATAAATTGATAAAACTTCAAAAAAGTGCATTTTGCTAGATGCTAAAAGTGCATTTTGCTAGTTGCTAAAAGTGCATTTTGCTAGATGCTAAAAGTGCATTTTGCTAGATGCTAAAAGTGCATTTTGCTAGATGCTAAAAGTGCATTTTGATGCTAAAAATTAATTGATTCAATCTTTGCACAGTAAAACCCTTTGCATCACAGATATACTTGAAAAAAAAAATACTTCTGGATACCTTGAGTTTAAGTAAAACAATCAAGAGTTTATAACTTTTCATGGAACAAGGTTGTCACTATAATTTTTAAATTTTGTCCCTGAGTATTCCCTGAGTAAAGAACGTTTTTCCCTGAAGTCAATAAACTTAAAGAGTTAAACTCTTTAAGTTTATTGACTTTTTCCTAATTTTTCCCTGACTTTTCTATATTCTTTCCTGTTCATCAACAAGATTATAATTTTCCTTAATTAAACACAATCTTGATATTTGACAAACTAAAACTTTTACAAAAACACCCACATCTTGCAAACTTATTATTATATCTATTAGCAAAATATTTTTGAAAAAAAAAAATTATTGTACAAAATTTCAAAAAAAAAATTATTTACCCTGAATTTTCCCTGTATTTTATAAAAATATAAAAAAATCCCTGAGTTTTCCAGGTTTTCCCTGGGATTCATGCTATTTCCAGGTATTCCAGGTTTTCCAGGTTGAGTGGCAACCCTGTGAAACCAAGTTTCTAAGATGAAGGTTTAACATACAATGTAATTTTAACTTACTTTTCATAAGAGAAGCATCTTCAGTAGTAAGATCACCTATTGAAGCTATAAGCAAAATTTTAATTGTTAAATACTTATATAACACAAATTCATAAATTATTCATTATATATAGATACATATATATAGAACTAATTCCCGGGAAGTTGAACACCAGTTGAACTTTTGTTATCTCTATTTTCAAGAAATAAGAAGAACATTTGTTTTCTTTAACATTTTTCAACAAGTTGAACATTCGTTTAGCCGGGCCATTTTCTTTGGTCCCTAGGAGGTTCAAGTTAACAGGAATTTACTGTATACGTATGTATGTATGTAAATAGTAGGTAGTGGTGTAGTGGTAAAGCGCTCGCTTCATAAACAAGTGGTTCTGAGTTCGATCCCCACCACGTCCCTGGTAGTACCGCGCTCAACTCGTTTCTCCGCGCAGCGGCCTTGCTCGTCAAGGTTCGTGTTTTGGAGTTATAGAGTTGAGAGAGGGTTATAACCACAAATAAGTAGCCTCCTCGTCTGTAGTGGCCTTCTCGGCCTTAAGGAGGTGAATTAAAATAAAAAAAATAAAAAAAATTACATTTTTGATTAACAAAAAAATGTATTTTTACAAACTTTTATTAAAAATTTTGAAACTTAAATATACAATTTCGCTTCTTTTGTGATCTAACATGATATACTTTTGAAATTTTTTTTATAATATTAGGGACCCATCTGATGTTCAAGGATCTTAAGGGGCTCCTAAAAATATTTTTTTTCAAGATTTTTGGCACAATGATATACATGTAGATATATATATAATCTTTGAATGTCATTTTCTTGTTATATGCTAAAATATGGTTAGAATTCAATAAATACGACTGCGTATAAACATTTATTTTTTTTTTTAAAAAAAGTTTATTTTTTTACGATTTTTGTAACTATTTTATTTATTATACCTGATGACGCTAAATTTATTATACCTGATGACGCTGATTAAATTAACTAACCATATATATATATATATATATATATATATATGGTTAAAATTTAATCAATTATTCATATATATATATATGTGTATATATATGTGTATATATATGTGTATATATATATATATATATATATATATATATATATATATATATATATTTATTGAATTCTAACCATATATATATATATATATATATATATATATATATATATATATATATATATATATATATATATATATATATATATATATATATATATATATATATATATATATATATATATCTATATATATATATCTATATCTATCTATCTATCTATCTATATATATATATATATATATATATATATATATATATATATATATATATATATATATATATATATATATATATATATATATATATATAATTATTAAATATATCTTAATAATTATATATATATAAATAATTATTAAGATATATTTCAATTACATAACTAAAATTTTCACGCAATAGCAATCATCAGATGTAACAACAATAAAAAGTAACAACAAAAATTATATACAAAAAATGCTATGGAGTTCAAGGATCTTAAGGGGCTCCTAAAAATATTTTTTTTCAAGATTTTTGGCACAATGATATACATGTAGATATATATATAATCTTTGAATGTCATTTTCTTGTTATATGCTAAAATATGGTTAGAATTCAATAAATACGGCTGCGTATAAACATTTTTTTTTTTTTTTTAAAAAAAGTTTATTTTTTTACGATTTTTGTAACTATTTTATTTATTATACCTGATGACGCTAAATTTATTATACCTGATGACGCTGATTAAATTAACTAACCATATATATATATATATATATATATATATATATATATATATGGTTAAAATTTAATCAATTATTCATATATATATATATGTGTATATATATGTGTATATATATGTGTATATATATATATATATATATATATATATATATATATATATATATATATATATATATATATATATATATATATATATATATATTTATTGAATTCTAACCATATATATATATATATATATATATATATATATATATATATATATATATATATATATATATATATATATATATATATATATATATATATATATATATATATATATATATATCTATATATATATATCTATATCTATCTATCTATCTATATATATATATATATATATATATATATATATATATATATATATATATATATATATATATATATATATATCTATATATATATATCTATATCTATCTATCTATCTATATATATATATATATATATATATATATATATATATATATATATATATATATATATATATATATATATATATATATATATATATATATATATATATATATATATATATATATATAATTATTAAATATATCTTAATAATTATATATATATAAATAATTATTAAGATATATTTCAATTACATAACTAAAATTTTCACGCAATAGCAATCATCAGATGTAACAACAATAAAAAGTAACAACAAAAATTATATACAAAAAATGCTATGGAGTGTCCGCTTTGATGACATTAATATAATAACGCTCTTAATTCTTGAGGATTTTTTTTTATTAGAAATTTATTTTCATGGCAACATTTTGACGCAAGCTCGGTTCGTTTGTTAAGCAAATTCAATGGCGACGTAATAATGTGGTATTTTTCTGTCAAGCATAAATTGCAAAATTTACCACCAGGTTTGAATGGCTCCGCTTGATCGAGGATATTCCATTTTAACATAGGTTTTATACCTTTATTTTTGCATTCCCACACAAATTTCGAAAGTTCAGTGGAGTTGGCATTACTTTCATAAACAAAGGAGTTTTTAAAGTTTATACCACCTGTCTTTGAAAGTTTTCTCAGTAAGCCCAACGTAATAATATCCTTCTTCTTCTTGGTGAGTTTTTGCGTTGTAAATATAAATAAGATTTTTTGTAAGGCATTTTCCATTGAGTGGGCATAAGCTGGTTTGCCGACAATTGCATAATTGATTGGCATTTTCATGAGAATGAAATAATATCTTTTTATTATGAGAAGTAACAATACTCTTGATGTTTGGAAGGCAGCTATAACTAACCTTTAAGTTGTTTCGATTAAAAAGTTTGTGAAATTTGTGGCCTTTAGGGAAACATTTATCAATTGTACTCAAAAATGTTTTGGCTACGTTTGTTCTGACGTTGAGTGAATAAGGTGGGTTAAACCAGATAATATTTCTTTTTCGAGATTTTTTATTATATTTCTGGATATTTGGAGTGAAATTGATCTTATCTTTGAATCCACAAGAATTGAGAGCGCTACTATAAAATGGTGCGGCTCTATCAAAAGCTTCTTTGCTTGAAGATATATTACTGATGCGGTTAGAGATCATTTTTGGTATCGATTTAATAATGCTTGGTGGAGGATTGGAATTGATGTTAATATATAAAGGATTATCTCCTGGTTTTCTATAAGGTTTAAAAGAGTTCTTAGAAAGGTTAAATGTGATATCAAGAATTTAATGTCATCAAAATGTGATATCAAGAATTTAATGTCATCAAAGCGGACACTCTATAGCATTTTTTGTATATAATTTTTGTGGTTACTTTTTATTGTTGTTACATCTGATGATCGCTATTGCGTGAAACTTTTAGTTATGTAATTGAAATATATCTTAATAATTATTTAGTTTTCACTATATTATTTACTCTAATTATATAAAACGCTGTATTGAGCACTCTTACTGGAAATATTAACATAATTCCTACAATATTATCGCTCCTTTATGTTGAGCGCTCTCTAATATCTTCAGTTATATTATATAATTACAGTTATGGAAAATCATTATTTCAACTATTCATTAAAGAACGTACCATTACCATCCAAAAAACAATACTTAAAATGCCTAACGGAGAAAGTCGAGTCACTAATAAAGCGAATGAGACAGTAAAAAAAGCGAATTGACTGTAGCTTTGATGCACGAAAATAATCCTAATCAAGAGCCCGCCTATAATTTCAATCTCAAGTTGAGAAAATCTCCACCGCAACATCCCGATTTAGTAAGTTTTGAAAACGATTTATTTAAGCTAATTCAGAACATTTCATTTTCTACAACTTAAAACGATTTTCAAAAGCAACTGCAAACTGACATATTAAAAATAAAATCTTCAAGTAATGTTTTTGTCTTTGCTGATAAATCTAGAAACCTGTATGAGCTAGACAAACCTTCATATCATAAACTTTATACTGAAAATATTACTAAAACCTATAAAAAATCTGATATCACACAATATAACATCATTAACACAGATGCTAAAATCATAGCAAAAGACTTGGGCATAGATGATAGGCTAGAGCGTCTAGCCATGAATACAGCATTCATTACCTTAAAAGATCATAAGGATAATTTCCCCAACAATATACAGTGCCGATTTGAAGTTTTACCCTTCAATTTCGAAATAACTTCTTCAAGATTCTATAAACCATGCAAAACAGTTCACCAAAATTCCTGATAAATCACTGAAAATTATTTACCACACCAGGAAATCTTTACTTTTTTCAGGAAATAATATGTGGATTAAAAAGTTGGCGGACCCTAATTTCGATGTCACCATAGGTAGTTTTGACGGAGCCGAATTATGCGAACTAGTTGGCCTCTATATCTTATACACTATTGCCAAAGAATATGGTCTTAATACTACCGGTCTGTATAGAGATGATCTTTGCTGCTTCTATAATATCAGTGGTCCTCAATCGGAAAAAATAAAGAAAAATCTAATAAAAATTTTTAAAGACAATTTTAATCTTAACATCACTATCAAACCAAATTTAAAAACCGTAAATTTTCTTGAAATCACATTTAACCTTTCTAAGAACTCTTTTAAACCTTATAGAAAACCAGGAGATAATCCTTTATATATTAACATCAATTCCAATCCTCCACCAAGCATTATTAAATCGATACCAAAAATGATCTCTAACCGCATCAGTAATATATCTTCAAGCAAAGAAGCTTTTGATAGAGCCGCACCATTTTATAGTAACGCTCTCAATTCTTGTGGATTCAAAGATAAGATCAATTTCACTCCAAATATCCAGAAATATAATAAAAAATCTCGAAAAAGAAATATTATCTGATTTAACCCACCTTATTCACTCAACGTCAGAACAAACGTAGCCAAAACATTTTTAAGTACAATTGATAAATGTTTCCCTAAAGGCCACAAATTTCACAAACTTTTTAATCGAAACAACTTAAAGGTTAGTTATAGCTGCCTTCCAAACATCAAGAGTATTGTTACTTCTCATAATAAAAAGATATTATTTCATTCTCATGAAAATGCCAATCAATTATGCAATTGTCGGCAAACCAGCTTATGCCCACTCAATGGAAAATGCCTTACAAAAAATCTTATTTATATTTACAACGCAAAAACTCACCAAGAAGAAGAAGGATATTATTACGTTGGGCTTACTGAGAAAACTTTCAAAGACAGGTGGTATAAACTTTAAAAACTCCTTTGTTTATGAAAGTAATGCCAACTCCACTGAACTTTCGAAATTTGTGTGGGAATGCAAAAATAAAGGTATAAAACCTATGTTAAAATGGAATATCCTCGATCAAGCGGAGCCATTCAAACCTGGTGGTAAATTTTGCAATTTATGCTTGACAGAAAAATACCACATTATTACGTCGCCATTGAATTTGCTTAACAAACGAACCGAGCTTGCGTCAAAATGTTGCCATGAAAATAAATTTCTAATAAAAAACTTTAATGTCATCAAAGCGGACACTTCATAGCATTTTTTGTATATAATTTTTGTCGTTACTTTTTATTGTTGTTACATCTGATGATCGCTATTGCGTGAAAATTTTAGTTATGTAATTGAAATATATCTTAATAATTATTTAGTTTTCACTATATCATTTGCTTTACTAATTATATAAAACGCTGTATTAAGCACTCTTACTGGAAATATTAACATAATTCCTACAATATATCAGGCCTTGTGATGAATAAGAACTGCGCAACGCATAAGCACGACGTGATTTTTGACGTCATTAAATTCTTTTTATTTGCTTTTCATATTCATCAACATTAACTGCACCAATTTACTTAATTACCGCAAAACTACTTTAAATCGTTTATGTAGAAATGTTATTATTTAAAAATGTTTTGGAATGTTTTGTTTTTTAAAATGTAAAAACATTTGTTTATTTTCTCGACGCTTGTCACGTTTTGTCTATACTAAACAAATAAAAAACATTATAACTTAAATTTAAAAAAGATTGTAAAATATGCTAATATTTGATTTTTTTTTCTTAAATATGTCATTTAAAGTTTTTCAAATAACTATTTTTTCTTTTTAAAAAGTCAGCGAGTAATAAACTGGAAATTTTAATATTGTACGATTAAAAACTGTGCAATAGCTAATATTTTTACAAGCGATTTTATATAATATTTATTTATTTTTATTTATTTTCATAAAGCGGTTGATAAGCACAACCACTCGTATTAATAAAAAACTTAAACGAACGTTTTGAATAGATTTTTAATGTTAACAAGGAATTTTATTTCTAGTAAAATAAAATAAAATGTTAGAATAAAAATCTTATTGGTATAAAAGAAATATTTCAGCGAAAAAATTATTATTAAAAATTATTCGAAAAACTATTGACGTTTTATTTTTCAGCAGCTGTTCTTGAGCACGCTTCGTTGAGTTTCAGTAACTTTTAACATAAAAGCGATTGTTATTATTTATGTAATTTTTTTAAGTTACTTTTTACAAAAATTTTAATAACTGTACTTTTTTATTGAATCAAGTAGAATACGTTTTAATATTAATCCTTTTTTTTTTTTTTATTTGCGCTCACCAATTTTTAAAATGTTTTCTCGAAATTACTCTTAAATACTTTAAATACGTCTAACAGTTAATAAATATTTTTAAATCTATGGAATAATTTTAAAACCTAACAAACCCCCGTAAAATAATTATTTAAGTTTAAAATCTAAAACTAAAAGAAAGTATTTTTGTTCAATTTTATCGACAACGTTGCTATTGCTGAATAATTTTATTAAAATGTTAGCTTAAAAGATTTAAACTTTTTTTTTAATCTGAATATTTTCTACTTGTAAATAATGAGCATATTTAATTTTTTTTAATCAAAACTTTTATTTCAACTGCGTGCGGTTTTTAAAATACTTTATTCAATGTTAAAATAATCGTAAATTACTTCATTAAAATTCCACTCAAAAATATCTTTAAATATACTCAAACAAAAAATTTTTTGCTCGACTCAAATAGCCCTAGCTACACGCAAAATCGCTCTTGGACGAAGTAAAATTCACATCACCCGACGCTTTACCGCAAGGCCTATATATATATATATATATATATATATATATATATATATATATATATATATATATATATATATATATATATATATATATATATATATATATATATATATATATATATATATATATATATATATATATATATATATATATATACACATGCAGCCCTCAGAATTAGGAAAAATGAGGTCAACACCAGGTCAGCAAAAATTATTTAATATAAAGTCTTACCATAAAATATAGAAACGAGGTTGACATACAAATGAGTGAAAAAATAAGTGCAATGTAACTTTGAAAATTATCTTATTTATTAAAAGTTTAATTAGATAAGTTTTTTTAAACAATTGCTCTCCCACTTGTTATTATAGCGGTCATCAAAATTTTTATATTTAAAGACATTTTATTGGAAAAAAAGAAGAAAAAATAAATGAACTTTTATAATGTAAGAAGTATGGCTTTTATAAAACAATCATTGGCTTTTATAAAACAATTTTGCATTGTATAACAGTATTTATATTATTTTTATATTGTTGGCTTATTAAAACAATTGATTATATTATTATATATATTTGATTATATTATTATATATTTGATATATTGATTATATATATTATTATTAATTAATATTTTTATAGATTAAGATTTTTATATTATTATTTATTTATTTTCTTAATAACTAAATTATTAGATAAATATAAAAAAAAAAAAATTAAAAAATTAAGCAAAAATGTCAGGAAAAAATAAAAATACTCTTTTAAATACCAGTTTTTTCTGCCTTTTTATTGCTAAAAAACAAATACTATCCCTGGAATGAAAAAAGAACAAAAAAAAAATTTCAGTGGAACTCTCAAAAATTATCATGTGGGCTGCACAAGACTCTTTAAATGGTCTGCCCCAAGTATGTAGTCCACCAAGTCCATTTTAGACAGGCTATTCATAGCCCTGTGCTCATTTGCTATAAGGTTTGAAAAATTATTATACAACATTTTACAATATTTTGAGAACTTATGATATACCACCTTCATCTAGTGATGTCAGGCCTTCTTCTTCTTTTTGTAATAATATTTCTATACATTGTTGAGAATCTTCAATACAAGATGCAAGATCAAAGGAGCTGAGTTCAAATGAAGCATTATTCTCGCAATGACTTTCCTAAAAAAAAATAATAAAGACTTATCTAATCATTAAATCAAGAATATTTTTGGTGTTTATTTGTAATTGATTATATTGTTTAATGTTTAATAAAGATCAAGAGTTTTGAAAACCTCTTATGGGTTTTAAAACCTCTTATTAATACTGACAATGAAAGGTGAAGCTCTTAATACTTTACTTTAATTTTTTATTTGCATATAAATAATTCATATAAAATAATTCTAGTAGACATCTTAACTTTAACCATATATAAAACATTTTTATTTATAGTTAAGATGTCTGCTAGAATTGTTTGTCTAAATAAAAAAAGTTGCAGAAAATATTGTTTATTTATTTAAAAACTAAAATCTGAAGCAAGTCAAAGGAAAAAATCACTGTGAAGATAAGAAAAGTTAAAAAGATAAAAGAAATTTAGAAGCTAAGTTCGATGATCTAGAAATTGAAAATAGTAATTAAAAACAGCAGTTTTCTTTTTTTGAAATGAACAAAGTAAATAATCACACCATATAATCAGGCCAAATAATCATGCTTTAGTGGTCTGTATTGTTAAATAAAACAGAATTTTAAAAAGATCTAAATTACTATCTCAGCAAAATAAAAAAAAATAAAAAAATGGCTTGGTTGAATCATTAAAAACCCAAAAAGGTAAGGATAAAAAATAACAATTATATGAAGTATAATCTCAACTTGGATATAAACAAAATAGAAAAAATTATATACTGAAATGTAAAAGTAGCCGACCAGGTATTATTAAGGTAACTAAATAGTCAATATTGGATCAACAAAATGTACTTCAAATTAAAAACAGACAGAACATAAACATACATATATATGTTTGTGTTCTGTCTGAACCTCTGACGCAGTGTTTGCTTTACTGTAAATTATTACATGTGTCTGCAATCTGCTAAATCTCTGATGTAGCGTGAGCTCAGTTACCAAATTATGACTCCAACTTTAAAAATTACACTCAACAAAATTTTTTAGTATTCTGTTAGATGTAATGTTTTTCCTAATGCATATCCAAAATATCCTGTTGTTTTAAATGTTTTAAAGTACTGCTTACAGAAAGTAATTTCTTTTAATTACTCCAGGTCAGGTCAGTTCAGGATTATCACAATCACCCTGCTAATGGTATCATGTAAATTAGTACTACCTGTCCCATAACCTGCTGTCTTGTAGGATTTGGTTTTTTTACGCCAAGGCTGGGATAAATAAACTCCAGCTTAAAATTTCCTTGTAAAAGGAAATTTTAAACCAGAGTTGAGTAAAAGCTAGTGACAATGTCTCAATAAAGTTTTATTTATTAAAAGTTTTTCATTGGGTAGTAATGCAGGAGTTGAACCAAAACTAAACCATAATACAAGAAAGGTCAAAAGATATTGATATTTTATACTCATTGATGGTATTTTGCATTGGAAATGCTTATAAAAAGTGCCTTAAAATGACAATTTTTTGGTATAAAATATCAGCTTTGGTTAAACTTCTGCCATTATAAATAAAAAACTAAAATTTCAACCTAAAAGCTTATGTTGATCTTGTAATGTTTTAAATTTAAAATAATTTTTAAAAAATGAGTGAAAAATTTGTATGACCTCATCTTGAATATAGTACAGTAAGACGGAATCCTTTTTGAAATAAAGAAATTGATAAAACTGAAAGAATTCATTGTAAGGCTAAAAAAATGGATAATCAAGGCTAAAAAAATGAATAATCGAGGGGTTATCATATGAAAAAAGGACATATTTCCTAAAAATTAAAACATTAGAAAAAAAGAGCTATTCAATTGTTTATTAAAAAAAGAAAAAAAGAGATATTCAAATATTCATGATATAATAAAGATTTGATAAACTCAATATCTACAATCCTATCAATCAATTTGTAACAACTGCAAGATGACACAATGTGAGAATTTAAAGAGAGATATTAAACAAAGTCTCAGAAAACGAAACAATAAAAAACAACTTCTTCACAAACAGAATATCTAACAATTAAAACACCTTGCCACAAGATGCAATAAATTCAGATTTAACTAATTCTTTTGAAAACAAGTTCAACTCAATATCAAAATGTAGAAACAATTAAAACAATAAAACTTAATAAGCCAACCAAATGTTGCAAGTGCAAAAATTTACATTTTTTCAATATTTCTTTGTAAGTTTGGTTAAAAATTGAAGAAAGTCTATGCAGGTGAGTGGAATCAGACTGCCTTCCTTTTAAATGAAATTTGTGCTTTGAATTTATTTATTATAGTCTATAGTTTTTTTTTTTTTTTTTTGTAGAGTTCTAGTTAAAAAATTTGATTAAAAGATTTAAAAAAATGTAAAATTAAAAGTAAAAATAATATAAAAAACGTGTGTCAAAATTTTTATAGCTGTATGCAATACTTCAACATAATATATACATAAAATCTCTTTTGCAACATTTGATATTATAAAAATTAAATATTATTTGTTATAATATTGTTTGATGTTTATTTTTAATTAATAAATTATGTGCATTATAATAACGACACAATTAGCATTAAAATGATGACAAAAAAAACATTTTATCATCAAAAATAAACACCAAAAAGGTTTAAAAAATAATAATTTTTGATTGAAATTGTTAATTAAATTAATAAATTTAATTTACAATTTCAATATAAACTTTAATTCAAAATAAAAAAGTTTATTTATGGATTATTTCACTTGCAAACTGCAACTTATCTGCGTAACATTTAGCCTGAACAACAACAATTTATGTGGTAGTGGTGTAGTGGTAGAGCGCTGGCTTCATAAGCGAGAGGTTCCGAGTTCGATTCCCATCACATCCCTGGTAATACCATGTTCAACTTGTTTCTCCGTGCAGCGGCCTTGTTTGTCAAAGTTCCTGTTTCGGAGTTATAGAGTTGAGAGAGGGTTATATTCACAAGTAGTCTCCTCATCTGTAGTGGCCTTGGGGAGGTGAATTAAAAAAAATAATAATTTAGATTTAGCCTGGAAACCATAAAAATCTTAATAAAACCCAGTAAAAAAAAGAAGATATATTAAACCTGAGGATATTAATAAAAAATATTGAATCTATTTGTAACAGTGTGATAAATTTCTTTTTTTTTCTGTCTATTTAATTTTCATATTTTGTGATATTTGTACAGATAAAACAAGATGAATAAATAATATGCAACCATAAAATACTTTAAAACACAAATTATAAGATTTGATTTAGTTATTTGAAAGTTTTTTTTTAATAACTTTGTTCTATTTCAATTTTTTTTACTTAATTCAAATAAAATCGAATTCTAAATTCAGCCCTGTATCTGCCAGATAAGCAAAATCTCACCAAATTGTGAGCTTCATCTAAAAGCACAATTGTGTTTGTTAGGTCAACTCCATGAACATTTCTTGCCTAAAAAAATAAACGGAATTATCAGAAATATTTAGATAATTTAGAAATGACAAATTAAGAAAATAATAATAATAAGGATTTATTTAAAAACAAGCAATAAATTCAAAAAACTAGAAGCAAAAAATCAACTTAATTGTTTAACCAGCTAAATCAAATAGATGTTTTAAATATGAAAGTGATTTTAAATGTTTACCTTGAAATCTAATACATAGTTATATGGCATAAAAAGTAAATCAGCTTCTTTTCTTAACTCTCTAGCCATATAATAAGGACAAAACCTAAAATAAAAACATAAAATAATAACTATTTAACAACTGAATATCAAATTTTAATTTACTGATATAAAAAAGACTTTACAGAACTTTATTTATAAAACATTAGAAAAAAAGACTCTTTCTTAATTTATTTTAACTTACAGAAAAACTATAATTACTTCTTTTCAGTTCCAATTGAAACAAGATCTTCAATGTCCAACATACCTGGAGGCACCTTATCTTTGCTTGCTAGATTAGTAAAAAAAAAAAATCTAACTGACACAGCTTACAAGTTCAAGTTAAAAAAAATAATTAAAAAAGAAAAAAAAAAGATTAAATTAAAAAGATAGTAATAAAAATTAATTAAAATTAAAAATTTTCTTTGAGATGGCCCTTGGGTAGAAATCTTTTGCCTTCCTGTTGATAAATGTGCTTCTTAGATAACTTCGTGGATTCAGATCAAACCTCACTCTTCTCTATGGTTTTCCTCACATTGTGCTGCTGCAATTACCAATCGAAACCATTACTTCCATACCTATCAGCAAAACAATTCTCCAGAAAACAGACGTCTGTTTATTACTGCTAGGAACCATTATTCTCAGGTCATGAAATCTGGTATTTCATCACAAAAATTAGGCTCTCGTGACTTCTGGAGAATCTTTAATAGTATCAATAATAAGGGCAAGTCTGTAATTCAACCTCTTGTATGGTTCAGACTTTGTCACCTCATCTAAAGACAAAGCTGGATTGTTTACTAAGAACTTTTCATCAATATCATCTCTTGATTCCATTAGTTGCGTTCTACCTGATATAGCTGTCAAACAGGTTGATCCATTGTTTGACATTCGTATCACTCCAACTTCTGTATCTAAAGTGATTTCCTGCTTAGACTCTTCTACAGCTTGTGGCCTGGATAACATACCTGTTATAGTCTTGCAGAAGTGTTCTTCAGAGTTGTGGTCTATCTTTTCAAACCTATTCAACAAGTGCTTATCAGAATCTTGTTTTCCAGCCTGCTGGAAAGCAGAATTTGTTATCCCTATTTTTAAAAATTCTGGAGAGCAATCCGATTCGTCTAACTACCGTTCCATTAGTCTTCTTCCTATCATAAGCAAGGTTTTTGAATCTTTAATTAACAAACACTTAATCTCTCATCTCGAATCTCATAACCTACTTTCTGATCATCAGTATGGATTTCGATCTTCTTGTTCTACGGCTGATTTGCTATCAGTAATAACCGATAGGTTTTATCGCGCATTAGATAAAGGTGGAGAGGTTAAGGCCATTGCTCTTGACATTTCTAAAGTGTTTGATAAAGTTTGGCATGCTGGTCTTCTCTATAAGCTATCAACTTACGGTGTATCTGGAAACATCTTTAAGATTATTGAATTTTTCCTTTCCAATGGTAGTAAGTTGTCCTTGATGCACTCTTCTTATTCTGTAACCTTGGGGGTTCCTCAAGGTTCAAGCCTTGGCCCTATACTCTTTTTAAATTACATTAACAATCGTCCAGATATTCTCACATCTAAGGTAGCGTTGTTCGCTGATGATACTACCATTTATTCTTGTCATGATAAGAAGCCAACTCTCACTGATTACTTGGAGGGGGCATTTGAGCTTGAAAAGGATCTCACTTCTGCTACAGCATGGGGCTCACAGTGGCTGGTGAACTTTATTTCAGATAAAACTCAATTTTTTTCAGCCAATCGTTATCGCAATAATTTAGATCTTCCTATATTTATGAACAGTAATGTATTTGATGAGTCATTTACCCTTCATCTTCTAGCATTGACTCTTCTGATCTTTCTTAAAAACCATATATCAAATCTGTCGCAAAATTAGCATTTGTTAAAGTTGCATTTCTTTATCAAGCTCGACACTTTCTTACTCTGGATTCTATCCTCTATCTCTATAAATCTCAAATCCAGCCTTGTATGGAATACTGCTGCCATATCTGGGGCGGATCTTCTAACGATGCTCTTTCTCTTTTAGACAAGGTGCAAAAACACATTGTAAAAATAGTTGGACCTGCTCTTGCAGCCAACCTTCAACCTCTGTCGTAATGTTGTTTATCACATCGTTTTAATTTTGCTTCTCTTTCTCTTTTCTACAAATAATGGGCATTGCTCTGAAGAGCTAGTGTCTCTTGTGCCATCTACTAAAATTTACTCTCGTGTTACTTGTCATTCAATTGAGTCTCATCCTTTTTCTGTTACTGTTCCTAAGTGCTCCAAAAACTCTTATTCGCCTAGTTTTTTTCCTCGAACATCAGTGATTTGGAACTCGCTTCCTTCATCTTGCTTTCCTGATTCATAGAATTTGCTATCTTTTAAATTGTCTGTTAATCGTTATCTTGCTCTACTATCTTCATCTTTTCTCTTAAAAAATAAGTAAATAATAATAATAAATTATTTAAACAACTTATTTAACAAACCTTCTAAATTGTTGTAGAAAAAGCACTGTTTCCCAGCAACTTTGATGCGACACATATGTACCTTAAAGATATTTAACAATAGAAAATAAATTTGACTTATTTACATTTAAAATCTGCACATATTATGCTAGAACATTTAATATGCAAACAATTATATTATTTGAAAGCAATATAATCATACTAACTTAACTATCATTAAAGCTTTATACATTGAATCTAATTAAAAAACTCACTTTACAAAAAAATTATTTTAATATATATTTGTGATTTCTCAATTCAACTGATCAAACAAAACTATGCAAAACGCAAAACTATGCAAAATTATACAAAATGATTTATGCCTTGAATGATTAGAGTAAACAATGAATTTTTAAAAAAAATTGTCTAATTAAAAGTAAATTAAACATAATTATTTTCGAAAAACTTTTTTCTTTTTTTTTTTCCTACAAACTTCTTTTCAAAAGAACATAAAAAAAAGTGTTTATTATTTTTATAAATTAACAATAAATAACAATTAAATTTTAAAAAATTTAACAAATTAACAACTAACTCGTAGTCAAAACATTTTCATTCTAATGACTAATTTTTTGTTAAAACATTTTCATGCTAATGAATAATTAAATTTTAAAAACACTTTTATACCAACAATTTTTTGTTAGAACAAAACAAAATACTGTTATAAAATTCTCAGATTCTGTAAAAGCCGATATAATGCAAAAATTTATATCACTAAAAAAGCAAAATCAAAAGTTTTCAATAAGTTTAACGAATGGACATCACAAAATAGTCAGAGATACCTTAACTTAAATGTACATATGGAGGCAAAACACTTTAATCTTGGATTGATTCGATTCCATGGATCGTGTAATGCAGAATATTGCGTCAAGTTAGTTGCAGGAAGGCTAAATAGCTTCAATATCGACCTCCAAAAAGATATTATCGCCATGACCACTGATGGAGCAAGTGTGATGGTGAAAGTTGGTAAAATGATGTCTTGCTATCATCAACTATGTTATGGAATACAACTTGATATTTTATACAAGAAAAACAACGGAGAAGTCGAAGAATCGTTTACTACAAATGAAAATTGCGAAGAAGAAGATTAACATGAGAACACTGATGATGATGAAGTTATAAATAAAGAATATGGTTTGACAATAATTTTGGACTGACCATCTGCTGAATTGGTTAGTAATTACAAAGATCTCATAAAAAAGTGAGAAAGGTTGTGAAAATATTTAAAAACTCTCCTGTCAAAAATGATACATATTAACTGAAGTATATCCTACATGAACACGGCAAAAAGCATAAGTTGATTCTCGATTGTAAAACTAGGTGGAACAGTATGTTCGATATGTTAGAAAGATTTCATAGACTAAAAGTGTGTATTGAAAAAGCCTTAATCGATGTTGGGTCAGAAATTCGCTTGACCCAAGAAGAATGGTCCCAAATTAATGACTTAATTATTTGTCAGGCACCACTAAAACTTGGTCTCGAACTATTATGCAGGAGAAAATCGAACCTTGTCACTGCGGAAACAACTTTTAAATTTATGTTACATAAATTACAAAAGCAATCATCACTTTTGAGCATTGATTTAGCCGCGGTATATATATATATATATATATATATATATATATATATATATATATATATATATATATATATATATATATATATATATATATATAATATATAATATATAATATATAATATATATATATATATATATATATATATATATATATATATATAATATATAATATATAATATATAATATATATATATATATATATATATATATATATATATATATATATATATATATATATATATATATATATATATATATATATATATATATATATATATATATATATATATATATATATATATATATATATATATATATATATATATATATATATATATATATATATATATATATATATATATATATATATATATATATATATATATATATAGGCCTCAGCAGGAAGCGAGAGCTTTAGCACTCACTCACACTCCCCTAAAACGGTTTACGGGAGCAATTTACAGCTATCGCAAAAGTATTTTTTTTCTCTCAAACATTTAACTATCATTGTAACTAAAATGAAAAGCGAAAAATCAAAAAAGATTAATTCATTGGATAATAAACAGGCACAGTTTTTGCAAAGTCAAATAAATTTTACGTCTAAAGAATTCGTTCACGGCGCAATAAATGACACTTGTTATGTGCATACTATTGTAACATTAACGTTACAAACATATGTTAGTAACAAGTATAAAACCAAATTTTGAATTTAATAAGCAGATTTTACATAAATAAACAGATAGCTTGTGCAAAAACCAAAAACTCTCTTAAAAAGCAGTTTAGAGGAGCAGATTGCATGGCTCACGATGTTAGTTTTAGGATTGCTTTTTTCTTTAGGAGGCCTGTATATATATATATATATATATATATATATATATATATATATATATATATATATATATATATATATATATATATATATATATATATATATATATATAACTTTATATATATAACTTTATATATATAACTTTATATATATATATATATATATATATATATATATATATATATATATATATATGTATATATATATATATATATATATAACTTTTTTAATTTGAGTTTCCATAAATTGCTTTTATTATTTTTTAAAATTTTATAAAATTTCACTTCTTTTGAGACCCAACATGATATGCTTTTAAAGAACTTTTTTTTTCAAAATATTAGGGACCCGCCTGATGTTTAAGGGTTTAAGGGAGCAACCCCTAAAAAAAATTTTATTCAAAAACTTTTTAAATTATTGAATAAAAATTTAAAAAATTAAATTTATAATTATTGAATATTAATTAAATTAAATTTATAATTATTGAATGTTAAAAATTTTTTAATTTTTGGAAATTTTTTTTGTTTAAATTTCAAATTTTAATGACAAAAATATTGGAATAAAAGAATTTGAGAAGACTTTTTTTTTTAGAGGAATTTTTATATTCAAATAGATTTCTTTATAAAAAAATTTCTAAAAACAACTTGTAAAATTATAGAAAATACTTAATCTTGATATCGCTTTAATTGAGATTTAAATTTAAAAAAATGGTATCACATTTTTTATCTTCTATTCAACAATTCCTGTTAAAATAATTTAAAATAGAAACATTTGTATGGCTAACTTTTGTGAGTGTTTGGGTATATTAATTAAATTAATATAGTAGATAAGTTATTATTTGAGTAACTGTGAGTTACTGTAGTAACTTAACTGGTTGTTTTGATTTAGTTTTTTAGTAAATTTACTGTGATGTACTTTATTTATTCAATAAAATAAAAGTTAATATAACTTAAAAAAGTTCAGGATCGCTAAAGCAAAAAAGGTTAAAGCAAAAAGGTTACAGCATTCTTTTTTTTTTGGAACAACACAAAATTTTATGGTTACAACCCTCTCTCAACTTTATAACTCCAAAACACAAACCTTGACAAACAAGGCCGCTGCATGGAGAGTTAAGCGCGGTATTATCAAAGACATGTTGGGGATCAAACACAAAATAAAAATATTCGAAAAACAACTTAATTATCTAAAAAAATTTAGATATCTAAACAACATATGACTAATGTTTAGATATCTAAATTACAAATAAATTAATAAAGAACTCAAGTAAACTGCTTAGGATAGTACCATTTTTTTTTAAAAATTGAAATAAAAAACAATCCTCTGAAATTGTATTTATTTTTTTGAAAGTTTTCTTTTCATAGTAAAAAAAACTGAAAAATGTCTATATTTTTAACTGAGTTTTTCTAATATCTTTAAAAAAAATGGTTTGGCTTTGATTTTGGCTTTCATGAAAAAGATTACAAGAATTAAAGTTGTACGGTTTTATATTTTCAAAATTTTAACAATTAGTTAATTCATCGTAATAGGCATCTGTATCGGCCTTTTCCCATCCATCAGCATTAGTCAAAAAAGTGCTATTGGTACATCATATATATATATATATATATATATATATATATATATATATATATATATATATATATATATATATATATATATATATATATATATATATATATATATATATATATATATATATATATATATATATATATATATATATATATATATATATATATATATATATATATATATATATATATATATATATATATATATATATATATATATTAGGGTGAGTCAAAAAAATTTTTTTTCTTGTTACAGGCTCTAAACATTGCTAGAAAGTTGTTTTTTTTGTACTAATTTAGGAAAATATTTACTTTTATGGATTGAACAATGTCTTCCACCCGCAACTATAATTACAAAAATTAGCAGGCCCTATTATTATTCAAAAAAAAAGTTTTTCTAAATTATGTGATGTAGGTACTCAAATAAAGCGAAATTTTATAAAAATTTCAAAAATAATAATTTTTTCATATAAAAATTATTATTTTAGATTTTATTGCATAATAATTATAGTTTTTTAAAAAGGTGTATTTTGACATGTTTTTTAATAACAATTTTTTTAGCAATATGACTTTTATAAAACGATTATTATTTTCGAATTTTTTATAAAATTTCGCTTCTTTTGAGTACCAGGTTGACCTACTTTTGAAAAACTTTTTCTCTCTAAAATATTAGGGTACCGGTAATTTTCCCAATAAAGTTGCACCCTTTAAATCTATCACAATCATTCTCATATTTAATAGTATCAATATTAATAACTATTAGCAATGTTTAGAGCCTGTAATAAGAAAAAAATTTTTTGACCTACCCTAATATATATATATATATATATATATATATATATATATATATATATATATATATATATATATATCAGGCTTGGTCGGGAAGCGGGTGCGATCGCACTCGATATTTGACCACGGAATTTATATTTAGTTGCGAAAAGCGGGCCAGATTTTTTAGGCGTTTTGAGAACATTTCAAAAACAAGCAAAAAAGCGCAATAAGATAAATTGGACCGATGAGAGACAGTTAAAAAAAAGAAAAATAGTTTTTAACGCAAAACTTTAAGCAAAATAAATACGATTAGAGTTTCAAAATATTTTTGAAACGTCGCTCTTTTATAATTTTTTTTTTAAAAATAAGCGGCATTATTTGTAAAAGTCCTTGTTTTTCAAATTTTGCCGACTGTCATGACGACATTTGCTGACTGCCTAAACTATATCGAAAGGGTCCACATTTGCCGACTAACTAGGTCCAATATGCCGACTAAGGGTCCAGTTTGCTGACTAAAAATCATTGATGGGGGAGTGTCACACCCCCCACACCCCCCTATTGCGCCGGCCTTGTTTATTTATATACTTGTGTCTTATTTCCACGCTGGAAATAAGAGGTAAGAAGGGGGGGGGGAGAAGAAGAGCTATAGTCCCGAGACACACAATGTTATGGGCCGAGAAATAGTCAAGAGGACCTATCGGTATTTTATTTATAAGTCATTTTTACGCTGTCGCACATAAAAAAGGCCACCAAAATAATGCAGCCCCCGGCCCTGTAAAGTCCAACAAGATCAAACCATTAAAACTAATGCTATATATTATAAATAAAAAAAGTTTTTCAGTTTTATTGTTTTTTTATTTTTAAGTTTTATATATTTTCAAACTACGCGAAGCATAAAACAGTACCTGTTTTATGCTTCGCGTAGTTTGAAAAGTTTAACATATTTGAAACAATTTTTCTAAGTAAGATGAACTAACTTAGAAAAATGAAATAACTAAATCATTGAGTTACTGTGGAAATTTAATTAGCTAGATAGAAATTAACTAAAAACGTTAAATTACTTTGTAAGGAGGAAGCGGAACTGCTTAACAAAATCGCTGATGATGTTTAGTGAGTGGGCTTTATATCTTTAACTAGTATTTTACAGAAAAAAAAAACTTTAAGTGTAAGTATAACGAGTTTGTAAGAATGGCTGAAGCAAAAATAATTGAAGTTAATAAACCAATTTCTAATACATTACATACATATAAATACATCCCTTATATATAAAAAATAAGATTATACTAATTAAATCTATAATATATTTACAAAACGTTGAAAAGTTAAAAAAAATAAATTTAAAACATTTATTTTTGTAAACAAATGTTAGTTTAAAACATTTATAGCTTTATGGATGTGACTCAGAGAATGAGCCATTGTATTAAAATAATTGTTCCTTTGATAGTATATTCTTAAAACAATTGATGCTAGAATTCTCAACGAAAACATAACAAAAACAAAAACAAAAAAAAAAGAATTTAAAAAATAATTCAACAGAATACTCTAGAACAGTCGCGTAGTAATTTCAGTTATTTATTAATTGAACTAATAGAATTAGTTGTTCGTAAATTTGGCGGGTTTTTTGTGTTCGCGAATATTCTTTATTTATTTTTCCGCACTAAGATGTTTGACAACATTCAAGTTTATATAAGTTTCCATGTACGTCCGTAAAAAAAAACCTTTTAAAATTTACGATAAAATGAACTTATTATTTTGCGACCAAACAAGGAAACATACATAAACTGAAATGTTCTCAAAACGCCTGAAAAATCTGGCCGGCTTTTCGCAAGTAAATATAATTTCCGTGGTCAATTATCGAGTGCGATCGCACCCGCATCCCGACCAAGCCTGATATATATATATATATATATATATATATATATATATATATATATATATATATATATAAATATATATATATATATATATAGGCCTCAGTAGGAAGCGAGAGCTTTAGCTCTTGCTCTCAAAAACTGTTTATGGAGCTATTTACGGCTCTTGCAAAAGTATAATTTTTCTCATAAAAGTATAATTATCATTTTAAATAAAATAAAAAAACACAATGTCATTTTAAAAAAATTAATTGCATAATATACTGAAATACTTTTCAAAAGGCACGGTTGTTGCGAAAAAAAATTAGAATTAAAAAAGTGCGCTGATTTAAATGAGGAGCAGCTCACACAACTCTTCAAGTTCAAATTTAGGAGAGCTTTTTTCTGCTCTTGAACTCATTTATTCTTGCCCAGGCCTATATATATATATATATATATATATATATATATATATATATATATATATATATATATATATATATATATATATATATATATATATATATATATATATATATATATATATATATATATATATATATATATATATATATATATATATATATATATATATATATATATATATATATATATATATATATATATATATATATATATATATAACAAATAAAAACTATTAAAAAAAAACTTGTTAATATGTTTTAAATATTGCAACTATAAGCTAAAACACTATCAATAACAAATTTTAACGCTCTTATACCTTTCCATTATTATTTTCTTCTCTCATAACTTCCGAGTTTATACACATCTGTTCACGAGAACCTAACACACAAATCTTTGGCCTATAAAAAAACATAAAAAGTGCATTTAAAATACTACAAAAATAAGAGTTATTATAAGGATGCAATTTACTGTTTTTATATAAAAATAAAATTTAAAAAAAAGAGAAAAATATTTTTTAAATTGTGTTTGATATTATGTGTTGTATACAAAGTCTCACTTACACATAACGAGTATTTTTTAACTCATTGACACATTGTGTTATTTGTGAATGTGTCCTAGAAGCATAAATAATTTTAGGGACATCCAAAAAACCTAAACATAAAAACAATTCCATTAATAAGTAAATAAAATCAAGTTGCTAAAAAGATATATAACTATGATTAAACTTGGTACCAATTATAATTTGTACTAAGTTTCCTCATAACTACATTAGGAATTTTAAAAAACTTTGCAACCTTTTGTATAAATATAATTATATTTATACAAAAAGTTGCAAAGTTTTTTTTAATAATCTTACTTAGAATAATTTTACTGGTTAGATATACTTTAAACTTAGCAAAAGAATTTGAGAACATTCAATGAAATAATTTATTTTGTTCAAAAAATTTAAAATCTTATTAGAACAAAAGCTATATATAATTCATTATATATAATTCAATGTGTCTTAAACTTTAGTATAACTGAGTAATTGTTTTGATTAATTTTTTTTTGCTTTCATAAGTAATTTTCTTTCAGCCATTTTGATTTTCAATACATTGAGTTACAAGTGATGTAACTAAACAAGCTATTATTTTGTCTTTTCTTAAGGCCTATAAAATTATTACTATACCTATAAAAGATCATTTTTTAAATCCTATATATGTGTGTATTTATGTTTGTGTTTGTGCGTTTGCGTGTTTGTGCATTTGATTGATAAAGCCATTGCATATTTATTACTATGTGTACTAGATGTTCAGTGCAGATGGCATGTTGTTCATGGTAGTGTTAAAGA